CTCATATATTTGTTTAGGATTTTTTTTTTAGATTAAAATTTAATATTTTTCCTAATTTTCTAATATACTTTTTTTACTTCAAATTGAAGCTGGTTGAATTGGTTCATGGTTGAAAATGTGGCTGTTCACTGATGCGCTCTTGTTACTGCTCATGGAAAGCAGACGTTAAACAGAATGTTATTTAAAAGAGATGTTTGGGCTATTCTATTGATCATGGTAGCATTATAACTGGGAATATATGCAGATGTGTGGTTCAGATGAGTGTACTTTTAGATTTAGGTGCCTGGATCGCTGTACTGGAGCTGTACAACCCCAGTAAAGTGTAGCAGAAAGCAACAGTCTGGTGTCCAGACTAATGTCTCAGAACCACATGCAACATGGGAAATTGTGCCATGCAAATTGTATTCAGCACTGAATTTTGTATTAGTGTTTGCACAGTATTTGCACAGTTTTCATAATTCCTTTGGTGAATTGAGAACTAAGATATTGCAGACAGCACATGAACGCAAAAGGATGCTATAAGACTTGAAGTTCATTAACTATTTCTATGCAATTACATTAGCAGACAGCAATAACCTTTAAAAACGATTCCACTGAAACAAATTGAGCCATTCAAAAAGGCTCACAGAACGTCCCACTGGCGGATGACTTTCACATCGGCCATCCATTAGCTTCTCGCTAAACCCAGCGAGAGTATGAAAAGCTCTGGAGAAACGCCAGATGTATAATTCATGGCCATTCAAACTGTATTACACTCAGCCTTCAACACACACACACAACTCCGAACTCAAAGCAATGGTGTTACATTTTAATTGCTGAAAAAAGTGCAATTTAAACACATTTTTAGTATAAAAAGTATACCTGAAGTCTATAGCAGAGAGAAAGAAAAAAATCATACCAGTAAGACCAAGGCTAGTGTTACACAGGAAAGCTGTCACAAGATCTATATCTAAGGATGATGCAATAATCAAACCTATTAGTTTTTTAACTTTGTCTGGGAATAATTTGCACAACTCATAGGAAATTGCTCTTGCCACTCTTACACAAAAGCCTCAACAAATTAGTTTATTTTAACCATATGCATTCATGTGTAGCTTTAATATTCAACCATTCATACTATTCTAATGCATTCACAAAATAGCAGCATAATTCAATGTCTAAAATGTACTCGCTACTAACAACCTGCTCTGTATATGTCACAGTTATATTCTGTTTTGTGGACACTTTCTACTTGCTTTTGCTTCCTGTGTTTTCTCTCAGTCAAGTCCCTGGCTCCTTAGCTGTCATAGTGATTGATTGTGCCCTTGTTTGTCTCTGTAGTAATCTATCATTTACACCCGTGTCTCAGTTAGTTCCTTGTTTGGCCTGTGGGTATATGTACCCCACAGTTTTCAGTTGTGTTTGTCAGTAGTTTTGTGGTCTCCTGTCTCTGAGATTGTGTGTCACGAATCAGGCCACTGTGGCTCCCTCCGATGGCCACCGGAGGGCACCCTCTCCGGAATATTAGTGCATTCGGACTTCATTTCCCATAACCCCGTGCCTGAGACTGATCACCTGCACAGGTTAGGTGTGGCCACTTATGCCGTGTTCACACTGCATGATTTTCAAACTCGTCGGATCGCCGTGGTTTTCACACTGCGTGACTATCTGGGGTAGCATTCAGTTGCTGCTGCGATCACATTGCACAATGGATCGGCGACAGGAGGTTTCACATTGCATGACTTTACAATAGGAAGAATCGCCGACAGCTCTGTTTGGTGCAGGGTTGCCAAGTTTTCGCTACAAAACCCGCCCAATTACTACTCAAAACTAGCCTGAAAATAGCCCAATTGCTTTCGAGGGGGTCCCCCAGTAAAAATTGCGTTCGGGGGGTAAAATACAAATTTTTTGGCGGGGTTCTCCCTGGTACAATTCACATTCCAGGGCCTAAACATCACGTTATTAGGGTCGCTTCAACCTGCTGACATTAAAAAACAACCGGCGGCAATCGCAGACTTGGCAACACTGGTCCGCAAACTACGTTTCATATAACTCCTCCCCGAACTTCCCGCTGCCCTGTATCTTGGTCTCTCATTGGCTGTAGGTCATCGCCGATGTGTTTTTCAGTCAGAACTCATTTCACACAGCGTGATTGTGAATCGCCGACAGCTCCAGATATTTAGCATGCCAAATATTTCACGGGCGTCGCGTCGGCGATTCCCTCAGATCACGTCTTTGATAATTCACACTGTGTGATTGTCACTCGCATGAACGAGCACCGATTTTCCTCCGATTTCGGGCATTTGTCGGCGAGTGAAAAATCGGGGTAAATCGTGCAGTGTGAGCTCGGCATTAGCCTACCTATTTAAACTGCTTGCAAACTCTCACCCATCGTGAAGTCTTGTTTTGCTGTGGCTGACATTTCTGAGCTTTTATTCCTGTGTTTTATTTTTCCTGTGTATGATCTTGGACTGTATACTCTCTCATGATTCTTCGCTGCCTGCCTTTGTGACCTTGTGTTTTTGAGTTACTCTCTCATTGTCCTGTTTGCTGCCTGCCCCGACTGTAAGCCTGTTTACTGTTTATTCTTCTGGATTGCCTCTGATATCACTGATGCTGTCGATTTACCTCTGCCTGTTCAACTCTGAGTTAGCGCTAATAAAGCTGCAGATGGATCCACACTCTACCGACCCTTCATTACATTGTGCTCCTGAGTGTTTTGTTTTGTATATTAAAGCTTTGATTTTTAGAATTTGAATTGAATTGAACGCGATACAGTCCACAAGATGTATCTAGCATCTTTTAGAAGATATTAATAAATGTATTCAGATATTTAGAGTTAAATCGGCTGTTGACAGCATTTGTGGTGACATTTTAACATGATAAAATATTCTGCAATAATGTGAATCTCTTGAGGTTTGTATAAGGATTGCAGGGAATTGATTTTGGTGTAGGCTTAGATTTTAAGAACCAGGCTGAGAGAGGATTTCAATTTTTTTCAGGCAGAGAATTAGAGAGCTGTGGGTGTTGAGTCGTGATGTACCGCATGAAAGAAAAAGACAGAGAGAATGAGGGCCATAAACTACTTTTAAAGTCCTTGTCAAAAGTGAACACTGAATATGTAAGCACATGATGAATCACACGAAACCCATCAAGCACAAGTCCAGGACATATTTGAAATGACGATTTATGAAAATGAGGCCTGTTTTGGGACCATTCATATATTTTAACACTGACATTGTCATGAGATAAACTGTATAATGATTGCATAATTTAAATCCTAAGTTTTTCACATTGTTTATATTATGCATTAGTTATGATGCTTTTTTTAAAGTGTCACGTTTAACAGTAAACGTCAAAAATGCAGAAAAATATATAAACTTCATTTTTATTTGATTTTGAGCACAAATAGAAGGTGAACTAAAAGGAGATGAACACCATTATCCTATCCTGTTTTGCATTAATGCTTTGAAATAAGAAAGGGGATAGATGAAACTGCTGCAAATGACCTCTCTCTCCCTCTCTCTCTCTCAGCACACTTTCTGTAAGCAATCTCTCTCCTCTCAAGAGCATTGCGGTAAGCTATAAATACATCTGACACTGCAGCATACTATAGTCACCTTTATGAAACAAACCCGGGGAATTCTCCATCTTTTGCCCTGCACCATTAAAAAGGATTCTTGTTTTTAAACGCTCAATGTATATGACGTATAATGACTAGCTTTCCCCTGACAGTGCGTGCTGTGAGATGTGGCAGTCTATCGTTTAGCTATGCATCCTTCAGTTTTAGTTTGTCCTAAAGGAGTATCAAGAATAATAGGGGACAAGTATGGTGAAAGTATCAATAACTCTGAAGGCGTTATAATAACAATAAAAACAATCATAAATTATTATTATTATTATATTGTTGTTAAGGAGTAATAATAATAATAATAATATTTTCCTGTTTCCTATTATCCATCCATTTTCTAAACTCAGTCAGAAATATTATTATTATTATCACTTCTTTAGATCCGTTGTACTACTATTACTAATAACGGTAACACTTTATTTCGATAGTCCACTTTAGACATTCTATTAACAGTAAGTAACTTTGCAACTACATGTCAACTAGCAGTTAGTAGAGTATTAGTAGACTGTCTGCTTAATATCTTCTAACATCTTCTCTGTCAACTTATTCTACTAACCCTAAAGCTACCCGAACAGTCTACTCTGAGAGTTAGTAGACATGTAGTTGCAAATTAATGAGAATTAGTTGACATGTAGTTGACATGTAGTTACAAAGTTACTTGTAGTTAATAGAATGTCTAAAGTGGACTATCGAAATAAAGTGTAACCCTAATAACAACAATAATCATTACTATTGTTGCTGTTACTATTATATAAATATTTCAATAAAAATTTAAGTACAATGGATGCAACTCTTTCATTCTCACAGGAATGTACAAAATTAAAAAAAACTTCTCCAAAGACGTTGCACCACAAAATCATTATTTAATGCAATTTGTAAAACAACTCATGGCTTCTTCTGGCTTATTGCTTTATTATAAAACAGATTGTTCAGACAAATTATGTTGTAAAGTAGCCATTATACTGTATTCACATCTGTGACCACGCATCAGTTGTGATATGTTGCTAAGCAACTGTGAACAGTCTACAGTCTTAAAAATAAGAGTTCTTTACTGACATGGATAAAAACATTAAACATCCATGGAAGAAACAAAAGATTCTTTATGGTGGAAAAGGGTTTTTTAGATTATTCAAATGTTCTTCAGACTTAAAAAAAATAAATAAATAAATGGTTATTTTAAGAACTGATCAGAAAGGTTCTTTGGGGAACCAAGAATGGTTCTTCTATGGCATTACTGTGAAAACCTCCTTTTGGAAGCTTTATTTGAATAGTGTATAGTTAGGCTAATTAACTATATTTTTATTCGTTCCATTAGTATTAATAAATGTAGCTAATTCTTGAACATTGGCATTTATGCTGGCATATTAGGTAGTGGTTGAGAGCTTCTCACCTCGTGAGACAGGTAGAAAGCTGCAATGCCCAGGGGCCAGAAACAGCAGATCATGGAGAAAACACTGAGGCCCAGGTGGTCCCTCGGAGGCATCAGGAGGAAATTGTCTTCACTCTCTGAGTCACTTGAGTACTCACTCTGCAGAAAACACACAAAACACTGAATGAATCAGATGACAGAGCGGCTTTTCATCTAACTCTCTCCATTTCACATCTATGTGCTTCTTTTCAGGGAAAGTAATGTTGGTAACAAGTTTGCAGGAGGCCTGAGATAGACATTCTTACATGGGCTCAAAATCAACAGAACAAATTTTGCATGTGGAGGATTTTTATAGCATAGGGTCTTTCTAGTACATGATATTCCAAACAAAAAGAGGCTTTTTTTTTTACTTCTCATCTTTGAAGCTAGTTACTGTTACAGAACTGACGAGACGTGAGACGTGCGGATCCATCTGCAAGGCTTTATTGTGGAGAAGACAGAGACGTGGTTATGAAGCAGGCAGGGTCAAACAGAGGCAGACAGGTATATGGTGGGCAAGACACAAGAACAGTCCTAGGGCTAGCGTGGGTCGACGATGGGCAGACAGAGTCAGAAGGGGCAAGACTAAGGGAGAAGTCCAGGAAACCAGGCGAAGATCAGAAACCGGGAAAACAGCTAGGCTAGGGCTAAGGCTAAAGCTAAGACTAGGGCTAAGGCTAAGGCTAATGACTAAGGCAAAGGCTAATGACTAGGGCTAAGGCAATGACAAGGGCTCCGTAAGGTAGCTATCTCTAGGAGAGTGATAAACGCTGAAACAATACTCGGCAGAGGGAAGGGATCAGAGTGAGTGTTAAATAGTGAGGGAGTGATATGAAACAGCTGGGTGCAATCAGTGTAAACAGGTGTGTGCAATTCGTGCTGAGTGCAATCAGTGCAATGCATGATGGGAAATGTAGTCCGGGGTGATGTGCAACAGTGTGTAGTGCGAGAGTCAATGAATTGAAAAGTTCATGAACCGGATTCGTGACAGTTACATGGGATGGATTCAAGAAACATTCTTAATTGTGAATGCAGCATTGTGTTGACTTTTGCATTTAATTAAGCTGCAGTACATTTGTAACTCGTATGGAAATCATACCATTTTTTGACAAAAGAAAAAGCGAAAGAAAATTTCATACTTAGTTTCAATCATGTCAATAATTCTGAATGCCATAATATTTAAAGGCTTTGATTAACTAAAAATGTAGCTACCTTTGTAAATAGCTATTGATGAATTATATTCTTAAAGAAAAATCACTTTTCTCTGTATCCTGTAGTTTTAATAATGTTTTTGACATCAAACTAACATACCATAGAATCTTTTATCTGGTGTTTTACCTCATCAAAGAAACTAAAGGCCTTGTGAATAACACTGGGTGACATGTTCTTGTATGTATTAATCACAGCGTGCATATGTTAACGATGTGCTTTTTCCATCCATTTTTGCTAAGCACAAAGACATAAACAGCTTGCACATGTTACCCACCGGTGAACTTCCTGCTCGTCCTGTTCCGGCCATGGAGGCCGTCAATGAACTCTCTGCTTGTCCTGTTCCGGCCATGGAGGCCGCCAATGAACTCTCTGCCTGTTCTGTCTGGTTCTGGTGGTCCTCTGCTCCGCCGTGGTGGTCATCTGCCCCTCCGTGGTTGTCTACTGTCTGGTTCTAGTTGTCCTCTTCTCTGCCGTGGTGGTCCTCTGCCCCGCCGTGGTCGTCTACTGTCTGGTTCTGGTGGTCCTCTGCTCCGCCGTGGTGGTTCTCTGCCCCGCCGTGGTGGTCTACTGTCTGGCTCCGGGGGTCTTCTGCTCCGCTGTGGGGATCTTCGGTCCCGTCTGCTCTGCTGTAGGTCACCCTTTCCATTACATTGACTCTCGCACAACACAAACTGTTGCATAGCACCCTGGACTACATATCCCATCATTCTTTGCACGATTTGCACACTGCACTGATTGCACACAGCTGTTTCTAATCACCTCACTCACTATATAACACCCACTCTAACCACCTTTCTCTGCTGAGTATTGTTTAGCCTGTACCCCTTTCCGAGTCTCTGTGTTTTCCTTGTTTTGCCTTGCCTGTTTTTGTGGTTTCTGATCTTTGCCTGTTTTCTTGGATTTCTCCCTCTCGTCCTGCCCCTGTGATTCTGTCTGCTGATCGGTGACCTACGCTAGCCCTGGGACTATTCTTGTGTTTTGCCCGCCATATACCTGTTTGTCATTGTTTTGACCCTGCCTGTTTACCACGTCTCTTGAATAAAGCCTGCAGATGGATCCACACGTCTCACGTCTCGTCAGCCCGGTTACAATTCCTCTGATTCTTTCCGACACATAAAATATTATACTATTTTGTCACATTTGTGAAACCCAAGACATATTTCCTAAACCCCTGTGAATCGCTAGCAGATTTATTCCATAATATTCATTTATACGTACAAGGACAATTCAAATTAGGCAATATAATAACAGTATTAGCTAAAAACTAGATTTCATCTGTAGATTTCATCATACAAGGCAGCATGTAGAAATGAAATGACAAATGTATTTTAATATTCTTTTGATTGCATCATCTGGGTACACCATATTTCTAATCATGCAAATGCGATGAATGTAGAATGAACAGTCTGATTGCAGAGTTCCTGTCCAGCCTCATCCAAAAACTTTAGCTTCAGAGATCTCGCAAGATCTCATTTGCTCAGATTGGCTTTTGCTGTGAAGTGGCAAGTTGCTCTGATAACCCGGCACATCTTTTTCCAAACAGTGTGTCATGTGGAGCAACATGTGCGAGGACGTAACAGTGCAACAGATTGAGGAGTGTGTCTGCATAATAGGAATGTCAATGTCAAGTGTTCCATTTGATTCCAGAATGAACTTCAAAAAGGCCAGAGCTTCTAAAGGCTGCGATTATGAAAAGAGGCATTATAAAATTCTCTCTGCAGGTAAGAAACCAGTGGATGTAAATTCACTTCTCAAAAAAAAAAAAAGATGCACTTGTGAAAGCAATAAGGGAAAGTGTTACATGAGTCATCGGAGCGGCTGCACCTGCTGTCTCGTGCTGTATGATGTGATGTTCTTTAGGCCAATCCAATCAGATTTTCATTCCCCTTGTTTAATAGACTGATTAATCTCTCCATGAATTACATTTTTGATTAGCTGTTAATGTTGTATTATGCAATACCCAAAAGAGATATGAGAGTGCCTGTAGAGGGCTATGCAGTGTAGTCAGCTGTAACTGAGCAACAAGCAAACACATGCAGTTACTTTTTTCCTAAAATTTATATTCCATGAGATTTACAAAATAATCTGCTTTGAGTAAAATTAAAGGTGGCAAATACAGTCATAGCCACTTTAAAGTTCATGCATAAAATGATTTTCCCCTTTTTAAACCTATGGAAGCTTGTTTGCGATGCAGCCAGGATGAAATAAATAGATATGGTAACAGCAACTTTTTATCTCACAATTCGGACCTTTTTTCTCACAATTCTGTCTTTCTTCTAACAATTTGGATAGAAAATTCTTTCCAATTCATTTCACAACTCTGACTTTTTCTCAGAAAATAGTTTACATCTCGTAATTCAGTTTTTTGTTTCCACCACGGAATGAAAAAATAAAGGTAATTGAAACTTTTTATCTCATAATTCTGACCTTTTTTTCCTCATTATTTGGAGACAAAATTCTCAGATTCTTGTACAAAAATTCTTCTTTCTTGTAATTCCAAGTTTATATCTCACAATTCTGAGTTTATTATAGATGTGAGTTATAAACTCTCAATTGTGAGTTAACATCTTACAATTCTATGTTTACATCTTACAATTCTAACTTTTTTCTCAGATTTTGAGATGAAAATAAAAAGCTGATAACTTATAAATGGTCTTTATTAATATTATTTAAATATTTAAAAAAAAAATGTATACTACTTGTCTACATAAATTAAAGATAAAACACAAAAAACTAAAACCAACTTTTAAAAGTCAATTTAGTCATCACAATATTATAATAAATGGTATGAAAATTGACATTCAGCCAATAAACAATATTGTACAGATTTGTGCATCCCTAAAGTACAGTATATGATACTACTTTTATATTTATATTTTATGATATTTTATCATGTCATTTTTTTTATGCGTTTGGAACTTAGTCATTATGTACTGTCATTAAATGAAAAAAAGAAAATGTTTCCCATGTCTACAAAAATAATACATTATGTGTAGTATGTAAAATCTAACACCAAATTTTCATTTAATTTTTCATTGGCTGCCTAATCAGATAAGGCTGGGGGGGGGGTTAATTGGGGTCAAGTAATTTATGACAAAGTGAACTCGATGCGACACAGGCTGCAGCACATTTGCATGTTTCACTGTGCTCTGCAGTGGCCACTCGCGCAGGACTCTGTGAAGCTGCACATCGGCCTCAGAACAGGTGGTGCAAACAGACGGCAGCAGCAGGAAACTGGCTGTCCAGACCAGCTCTCTTTACATTCTCTACAGCCTTCTGATCACCCACTCTCTCTCTCTCTCTCTCCCAGTCATCTGGCAAGAGCTCCAGACACGTGCTCGCTCAGATCAGAAGCACCATATGACAGGGTGGTATCAAATTAGGGGCAAAGACGGAGAGCTCTCACCTTCCTTAAAGGGTTAGTTCATCCAAACATTCTGTCATTAACTACTGTCGTTTCAAACCCGTAAAACCTGCGTCACGCCGGATCTGTTTCCTACGTTGTTGTGATTTGATCTGAACGAAAACAGTGTATCCGTGTGACGCAACTGACACAGAACAGCATACGCTGTTTACATCCAGCTGATATTCTCCAAAATGGTGCTACAGGGTGATGCGGAGGAGACGAATTGTTGAATAAAGTAGTTTTTTTTCTTTTGCGCACAAAAAGTATTCTCGTTGCTTCGTAAAATTACGGTTGAAGCCCTGATGTCACATGGATTCTTTTACCGATCTCCTTGCTACGTTTCTGGACTTGGGAACATTTCAGTTGCGTTGCTGTCTATGGGAGGGTCAGACAGCTCTCAGATTCCATCAAAAATATCTTCATTTGTGTTCCGAAGATGAATGAACGTTCTTATGTGTTATGGGTTTGAAACGACATGAGGGTGAGTAATTAATGACAGAATTTTCATTTTTGGGTGAACTAACCCTTCAAAGCACTGGATAACAGTATGGTTTGCATTGGTAAGGACTACCTCTAAACAAAACATTTGTGTGATGCATCAATTATTTCAAAAGACTGAAAACCCAGCTGGCTCTGTTCCAAAACCTAGGGAGCTGCCTGCATAGGCAGCATGTAAAGCCTGGTTTATGTATAACGGTGCACATGCAATAAAGTGACGTATACAATTACATAATTGCAGCACTTCTGGTAATGCACATTGGTCCCCACACTTTACAACTTATTTCTGCATCTGCTCTGAGTTTGGGTTGTTTTAGCATGCATTTGGGAACACGACATGCACCAAACATCTTCCTAAACTTGCAATGAGAAGCGCTTATAAACTGGATGTTGTCAACAAAAGCTTTAAGGGCTTGCTGTTTTTTTTATTATACCTAAATTAAAGCTTGTTTTAATGTCTGAAAATGAATAAATGAAGACAGCCATAAGTGATAGCATTATCATTTTAAAATATTATTATATACTTTAAAATATATATTATATACTATTATTTTGTTTCATATTTGTACTTGCACTTAAAATAATTATTATATAATTTTTCTTAAATACTTGATTTTTTTTATTTTACAGTGAAATACTGTATTTCAATAGTAATTTCTTATTAAATTTTTTATTAGTACTTAAAATTAAATATTATTTTTCTTAAATATTTGTTTTTTGTTTTACGTAGAAATATTACAATAGTAATATTTCATTTTTTCCTCAATATTTTATTTGTACTTAAATTAAAATAATGATTATTATATTATTATTTTTCTTAAATACTTGATTTTTTATTTTACAGTAAAATATTGTAATAGTAATATTTCTTATTTTTTATTTGTACATAAAATAACATGATTTCTGTTATTAAATTTTTTTTCACCATTATAATCACATTGATATATAACCACAAATGTTGATTTTTATATATATATATATATATATATATATATAATTTTAAATTGCACTCACAGTTTTTTCTCCAAATCATGCAGCCCTACCACTGATTTTCATTGTATGGACAACAACTTCCACGGAAGAAAGAAAGTACATACAGGCTTGGAACAACATGAGGGGGAGTAAATGATTTTTGGGTGAACTATATTTAAAAGTGTAATAGTATGCAGTCTCTCACCTCGAGTTCCTGAAATTCATCATCGTCTTCATCTACATCATAGCAGAGCGTCTGGATCTTGGCGTCTTCCATTGAGAGATCCAGAAGCTTGCTGTCGGTGAACAGAATTCCATCTTTAGCGACGGCGGAGCCGCACGAGGCAGGGGTCATCTCCTCAATGAAGGTGGTCTCGCAGCAGTCCCCCCCCTCTCCCCATGCTCTCAACACGCTCTCGGGGTACAGAAGGAGGCTGGGTCTGTAGTAGTGGTCTATAGCCTGGGGCAGGGCGCTGGGGTTGAGCAACTGTGGGGGTCCTCGAACATCCGGTGTCCCATTTATGTCCTTGGACACCACATGGCCCTGGTACTGCGGGGCAGAATAGACCGACACCAGTCCTTCCTTATTCTCCACCATTAAGTTGTGGGTATTGATCAAACCATTACGTTTGCAAAATTCATGTCCCAAGTCCGCACTCCCCGCTAATGGGGTCTTCCCTTGAGTAAGAGGGTCTTTCTCATCTGCCGCTCCTGTTTCTAGTCGTGTTCGGACCCCTTTCTCCATGCTGGTCTGTTGGTGTGGAGGAAGGCTTGACTCATGAACGGCTTTGAGGAGGCATGAGGTTCAAGTATCACTCCCCGCTTTCCTGCAAGGATAATAATGATAATAATTTGATGCCACACACATCAACAAATGACAGAGTATAATGAAAGTCGTGGAAGAAATATGTTGGTAAAAGGATGTATATCACAAAACCTGTCAAGAGCTCATCATAGTCATATTTTACCCCAGAATCAAGAGAAAGAAAATATCAAATTATATTTTGCTCAAAAGTCTATTTATATACAATTCATTTTTCATTTGTTCATGTACCTCCCCAATCTGCATTGTACCATAAAAAACAAATTCTCATTATTACTTTCATGTGCATTCAAAAAAATTATTAAATTACAGTCTTTTACACCAAACAGGGTTCATGAGGGAACTGCAGGGGTTTCATGAGTTGATGAAAAGCTAATAATTAATTATATCCAATGTCAAATTAAAATAAATAACAATAGCAAATCAAAATCTGTGGTTTAATGAACTGTACTGGGGGGAAAAAAACAGTTACGCCTAAATGAACTGCATTTCTTCAAATATTATAAATATAATATATTATTTACAGTATATCAAAAATATTGAATATCACTGAATCAACCTAAATAGATTAATTTATACTACCAAAACTACTTTATATGGTTTTAATATGATAGAAATATCTCTTTAAAGTAACAATTGCAATGCAGTTTACAGCATTTCAGCAGTATTCTACAAAAATAAAAGAATTTGAAATGGTGAAATATTTAAAGTGAAATGAAAAATTAAATGCATAAATACTGTAATTGGTGGTGTAAAATAAAGTAGGCTATTATTATAATTATTACTATCAGACATATATTGTAGTCTTCGATAACAACTTCATTTGGTTTTTTCCTCTGAACTCTCAAAAGACCCTAAAATTGTTGTTTCCCAACCATGCGAAAGTGGGCTGCTCTTATTTAATGCATGGCATGGCAGACTCCGCACCACTGCAGTATCCAAAACCCTACAGCCAGGTTGCCAAATACACAAACTTTCTCTTCTGCTAAGTTCAGCAGTGTGCCCGATGCTGGGGGCACCTAATGGGTGCACAGCTTCCTATAATCTGATTTAGAGCCTACTGCTACTGCCATGAGCACAGAAAATCCATCACACCATCAGCAGTGTCCAGTAAGCAATTAGACGCTTCAGTGCGACTGAGAAGAGCAGGAACTCTAACCTGCGTGATCTCGACACACTGGCCCTCAGTTTTTACAGTGTTTCTTCAAAATCACAGGCCACAGGGAAAGACAGAATCACAAATCAGATGTCTGAATAAGAGTGAATCGGATATCACAATTTAAATCAGTCCTTTAAGGGTAAAGGCATCTGTGAAAAGGATCAGATACCCTAAAGAGCACTGGATACCCTCCAACGAAACATGCGTCAGTTTAACAGCGCTGGTGTGAAAACATCAATGCCACATTAAAGACTCCATGAATATAACATTACACCAATATATCAGCCAGGTCATTTAATCAGACAGTATTTCGCAGTTTTCAGATTAGCCGCTCTTGGACAGTTAACATGACGGTTTGACACTTAGTAGACTCAATTTATGTTGCTGTTTTTGAGTAGCCAAAATATAAATGTTTACATAAATGTTTACAAATGTGCACATATGTTTACATAAATGTTATGTAAATGTTTATTTTTCTGTTCATTTGATGTTACTTGATTGTTACATTATATTATTAAGCTTTAGCGTTAGTTCTGGCAGGTCACGTGAGTCAAGCTTGCATCAGCTGACTCTCAGCTGATCACATCTACCTATAGGAATACGACACCTATCGCGGCATTCCTATATAAGCTGTATTCAGTATTATTCAGCAGCTTTTCAGCTTGCTCCGGAGCAAATTACCCTCCTCCATCCCCAGCTCCACCTTTCGCCACAGTCAGGACTTAGCTTTCTGATATTCCTTGCTAATCAGACTCCTTTATCTTGAATAAAGTGTTACACTTAAATATCATTGAGTATATTAATGATATCTGCCTTGTTCTGTTCTGTTAACCCTAGGGGGGTTATTATTGCTGCTCTCCCTGCTCATTCATGACAGGCTGCATGGATGGGCAGGGAGGTTTTTGCCCAGAACAGAACCATACCGCCAAACCAAACTTTATGCTAAGTATCTATCATTTTGACGATAGTGGTCCTGACAGAAATGTTATATTATATATCTGCTTTATAAATAGCGCCACTGGCCATAGAAAAATCGGTTACCAAAAACTGTATCAAATGCATAATTCAAACAGACCATGTTTGAGGCGGTCAACTAGGCTACACAAAACAGCCTAGTCAAACCTAAATGACCACCTTTTTTACAAAAAAATAAAAATAAACAGAAAACAAACAGAAAATGTATTGTTAGTAGACGTTGGAGGAGATATGAGGTGGAATGACTCAAATCGCAATTTTTTTTTTTTATTAATTAAATTCACAAGAAAACAAAATCAGAAATTGAACCAACTCTGTGGATTCTAGAAGCAGGCATGGAAAACCCGAGATGGATCTCAAGCCCAGCATCACTAATGCTTTGAGCGGAAGTGGAAGGAAAGCGCTGTCGCTCCGCTCCGCTCCACCCTCTGCGCCGATCCAGACCGGCCTTTACTCTGTGCATTGAGTGCTGACTGACAAGTAAAGCAAAGAAGAAATGTATTATCTGAAACTTAAGTTACAGTACACAGTAGCCTATTAGTTAACTGTTTAAGGAACCTGTATAAAAAAATGTAACTCTAGCAATGCCCTTGTTGTACGGAATAACAGCACATAGCAAAAGGCCGTAATTATTCAATAGACCAGCATTATTATTATTACTGGCACGAAAAGCACTCTTAGGCTATTTTTCAAACCGAGTTTTTCTGTAATGAAACATTCGATTCATTGCGTGATTTCAATGCAGTGTGGCTGGATTTGAACTCTCATTCTCTCTCAAACACTCAATAAAAGCTCATTTCAAAACGAATGCATATCAAGTTCTCAAACCGAAACGTGAATCCTGAAGGAAGGCTTTCGCACTGCAAGTCAATTCTGAAAAAATAATAATAATCAATCAAAGCAAACACAGCCCTGCGTCCGGGAGTCAAATCTGACCGAGACACAAAGCCTTGTAAATATGTCCAAGAACCAACCTAACTGACCACATCGATGTAAGAGGAATTATTTAATGAGTATGACCCTTCACCATTACTGTCATCGTTCAATCGACCTGCGCATCAAGTGAGCTCTGCTTAAAATGGTCCTGTGCGTAAAATGCACCCGTGCAAGAATGAGATCAAGGGTGAACTGAGAAAGGTTTCTGTTGCCAGGCTTCAGGAAGGCAGTGATGCGCTGATGTCAGCTTGGCGCAATCATTCATTTGCTGTACAAGTTCGTGATCAGACTGGTAACTTACCCTCCGAGGTGAATGTTCAGCTGAGCAACGAATAATCTCAACGACTGGGAAACATTCGAGTCTGATATCCGTCTACAGTTTTATTTTTGGAGCCGAGTAATAAATAAAAGTCCAAAGTGTCCAGTTGTTGTCCCCCTTTCGAGAAGTCATCTATCAAGAGTGGGGGGGAAATCACCAGCAAAAAGCTTTCATGCGGACACGATGTCGATTATACTGCATTTTGCCAGCCGTTTTAATACGACTGCGTTAAGACTAGTTATACGCGTAAAGACGCATCGAGATGTCCAAGCACTATAATGCACTTGCTTTCTCCTCATCTGCGCTCTTTATATGGATGCGCTCGAGTTCCCCTGGGTCCTAAAGATCGCACAGGACAGGGCCATTTGTTTTGATTTATATATTTATTAATTGCTTGTAATTCAAATGCATACTACAACAACACAGGTAACTGGTGTCCAGCAGTGGAGTAACTATATTTAGGATACAGCAAGGTCTAATTGCTTTTATAAAAGATAAGCCACATAATAAACATTATTGAACTATTTTATTAAGCTAACATTACTGTGGGTGTGGGTACATTATTGTTAGAATGAAACGTGTGTTGACCAATCAGAAGCCAGGACCAGAACTCTGTTTTATAAAATAAACCAATTCCATTACACACTGAGATCAAATTATAACAACATATTTGCTCTATTACAGGCCAAACTGTAAAAGGCCAGATCTGTAGTGATTTAAAATGAGAGGCAGTCGCTGCATTTTAATCATGATCCAAACAAAGATGCTATGAGCATGCATGTAGCCTATGTAACATACATGAGCAAGTTTTGATTAGATTGTACCATTTCAAAATTTAAGGCAAAAACAGAATGGTCTTACTTTAGCTTTGTGAAATTATGCTACAGAAAACTATATAACATCAGCAGACGGGCCGAATGAGACGCAGATTCACTCTCTGACAGCAGGAGGCGCTTCTGGAACAGCAGCGATACCGCGTTTCATTGATTACCGCTGTAAACAAAGCAGCGCTGCGCTTATAAACACTACTTTAATATGCATTATACAGAGACGAGATGAAAAGAAAATACTATCTAAACTTTTCTGAAGCCAGTCAGTTCCTCTCAGAGATATACATTCATGTAAACCCCTCACCCCCAATTCAATATTAAGGATTTTCTTCCAATATTTCGCTCATCGTGAACAGTGAGTTTGCTCTCCCTGCTACAGTATTTTCTCCTCTTTGCTTCCGTCTCTGGCCTTTGTTGGGAATAGCAGCCTTCTCTGCCATAATGTGACATCGATTTTGTTTCGATATAGGCCTATCATGCAGCCCTAATTAAAATAGCATTAGTTATAAATAAATAAATAAATAAATTTGCTCGTTTGGGCACCCTAAATAGCATTAGTTATGAATAAATAAATAAGCAAACAAACAAACTTGGCTCGTTTGGGTACCCTAAATAGCATTAGTTATAAATAAATAAATACATTTGCTCGTTTGGGCACCCTAAATAGCATTAGTTATGAATAAATAAATAAACAAACAAACAAACTTGGCTTGTTTGGGTACCCTAAATAGCATTAGTTATAAATAAATAAATACATTTGCTCGTTTGGGCACCCTAAATAGCATTAGTTAAAAATAAATAAATAAACTTGGCTCGGTTGGGCACCCCTATGGAGGGCATTACTGTATTTACTCCTGATTTCAGAAGTGCCCTTTTGTGGTTTCAGGTAAAGGATTTGTTTATATCAAATCATTCTCATCACTCATAATCCTATTCAAAGCCCAAATCCTTATTATGGGCAATAGTAGAGGGGAAAGGCTGAAGAGTTGATCCTGCATAAAGAATTTAGACTGCCTGTAGAAATTAATTTGACAAAAAACTGCACTGATGCTCTCAACTGTGCAGCAGCAGTTTTAGCAGGGTCATATAAAGCGAGATAGCAGTGCTTGGGTCTGCTGTAGCAGGTTAGGGGTTGTTCTTGCAAACTTTATTCACATTGGCTGCAGTCAATTCAACACTGCCATCCAGTGTTTAAAAAGCAGAAGACAAACTATATGCAATATTAAAGGTATTGTAGGGTGAATTCCATTCAAACGGGTCAGGTTTTAAGACTATTAAGATTTTTTTGTGACATTATTTATGTGACATAGCCTATAGCCTATGTATGTATGTATGTATGTGTATGTCTCTCTCTCTCTCTCTCTTTCATTTGCTCAGACTATATATATATATATATAGTCTGAGCACATGAAACAGTGATAAAATGATTTGTTATGCACATGCAGCACATGCAGAAGGGGGAAGGGCTTTACCCCCCGGGAGCCGCGAGCACAGAGCGGGCTGATGCGCAGGAGGACACCAGGCCCAAACCTCGCTGTTTAGCAGCTTCGCTTGCGGACTGACTGATGCGAGAAGTAACTTAGAGTTTAACCGCTGGGTGACATGTAAACAATATTAAGGATTTTCTTCCAATATTTCGCTCATCGTGAACAGTGAGTTTGCTCTCCCTGCTACAGTATTTTCTCCTCTTTGCTTCCGTCTCTGGCCTTTGTTGGGAATAGCAGCCTTCTCTGCCATAATGTGACATCGATTTTGTTTCGATATAGGCCTATCATGCAGCCCTAATTAAAATAGCATTAGTTATAAATAAATAAATAAATAAATTTGCTCGTTTGGGCACCCTAAATAGCATTAGTTATGAATAAATAAATAAACAAACAAACAAACTTGGCTTGTTTGGGTACCCTAAATAGCATTAGTTATAAATAAATAAATACATTTGCTCGTTTGGGCACCCTAAATAGCATTAGTTAAAAATAAATAAATAAACTTGGCTCGGTTGGGCACCCCTATGGAGGGCATTACTGTATTTACTCCTGATTTCAGAAGTGCCCTTTTGTGGTTTCAGGTAAAGGATTTGTTTATATCAAATCATTCTCATCACTCATAATCCTATTCAAAGCCCAAATCCTTATTATGGGCAATAGTAGAGGGGAAAGGCTGAAGAGTTGATCCTGCATAAAGAATTTAGACTGCCTGTAGAAATTAATTTGACAAAAAACTGCACTGATGCTCTCAACTGTGCAGCAGCAGTTTTAGCAGGGTCATATAAAGCGAGATAGCAGTGCTTGGGTCTGCTGTAGCAGGTTAGGGGTTGTTCTTGCAAACTTTATTCACATTGGCTGCAGTCAATTCAACACTGCCATCCAGTGTTTAAAAAGCAGAAGACAAACTATATGCAATATTAAAGGTATTGTAGGGTGAATTCCATTCAAACGGGTCAGGTTTTAAGACTATTAAGATTTTTTTGTGACATTATTTATGTGACATAGCCTATAGCCTATGTATGTATGTATGTATGTGTATGTCTCTCTCTCTCTCTCTCTTTCATTTGCTCAGACTATATATATATATATAGTCTGAGCACATGAAACAGTGATAAAATGATTTGTTATGCACATGCAGCACATGCAGAAGTAGGCTATCATAACTAAGAACGTTCACGAATATTCGATAAGGAACAGTGGCTTGCTAGTATTCGGGCCACTGTAGCTCCTCCGCGCCTGTAGATGGCAGTAACGTGTCGCTGCACCCAGACATTGGCGCACAGGCGTGCTGAACTCATACCTGTTCCACAGGAAGCAGGACTGGACTTAACTACACAACAGGCAGCAAAAACGACTTCAGGCTGGGCAACGATACGCTACCACGGAGAAGAAAACTCCATCCACCCCGGGGGAAAGTCGAGAAGGAGGGGAGGCCCTGCAACACCGGAGGTGAGTCCGAGCGGACTTCTGGAGCTCACGGAGGGCTTTTTATGTCTTTTGACTCAGAGGCCGCGCTGACAGCGAGTTGCAGCATATGTGTCCTGCGAGCGACGAGGCCCTGCAACACCGGAGGTGAGTCCGAGCGGACTTCTGGAGCACACGGAGGGCTTTTTATGTCTTTTGACTCAGAGGCCGCGCTGACAGCGAGTTGCAGCATATGTGTCCTGCTAGCGACGCGACTAACTGGAACGCCCTCGACGCTGCACGCCGCGGCTTTCACTCTGTGTAGAGTTTTGTTTCTTAAGCGCGTTTCAGTTTGACGCGACGCGTCGCTCGCTCGCTCGCAGTGCTGATGTTAGCGCTAATGCGCACTTGCTCGGCTCTTTTACCGCGTCTCAGGAGAAGCAGCAGCGCGGCTGGAAGGCTTTAACCTCCGCGAGCCGCGAGCACAGAGCGGGCTGATGCGCAGGAGGACACCAGGCCCAAACCTCGCTGTTTAGCAGCTTCGCTAGCGGACTGACTGATGCGAGAAGTAACTTAGAGTTTAACCGCTGGGTGGCATGTAAACCGTGCACGTTCGTAAGATTTCTTTATGAACTTTAAGCTTTGTTTTCGAGAATAGCAGTTGATGTTCTGGTGTCACGTGTCACAAAAGGCATTTTTTTACTCTCCGCGTGCCATTCATGACTAATATCCTAGACTTGGATATAGACAATTAGGTATTTTTGGAGCCTTGCAGCATGGGTCATCATTCATTTCTTTAAAGTTTCTCCTTTTTATTTGTTTAATGGGAAATTTGGGATTGTGGCACAATATGAGGCTGAGCATTCAATGGCAGAAATTACATTTTAGTGTGAAGTATCTCTTTAATGAGACTTGATTATGGACATATTACAGAAAATCCTAACACTTAAGTTCTGTCTTTTCTTAGCTTGAAATTGTCAGATGGAATATTTCACCCGAAAATGACAATTCTGTCATTTGCTTACTCACCCTCATGTCCTTCCCAAGTTTTTTGTTCATCATCAAAATGCAAATTAAGGAAATAGAATAACTAAATAGAAATTTCAGTGCATCCATTGAAAGTCAGTTTCACCAGAACCTTGCCGTCATCATTTCGTTCCAAACCCATAAGACTTACGCTGGTTTTAAAAACACAAATGAAGATATTTTTAATGAATCCGGAGAGATTTTTGTCCGCCACTGAAAGCCCATTCACCCAAAACTTTGATTCTTCAAAAGGATCATAAGACATTGTTCCTCTAAGAAACACAAATGCGAATATTTTTAATGTGTATGTTGATGTGCAAAAAATTTAAAACGCTTCAAAAAGATAATAAAGACATCATAAAAGCACATCAAATATGGTAAACAAAAACTCAGGCGTGCTTGTTGACATGCGAGAGCCAGTGAGGTTTCTTCTTGCGCATCAAGCAAGTACAGTTGAGCTTATGTTTACCTACTCTGCATTGATGAGACACAGGTTTAACGTAGGCTTTAAACATTTCACAGTTTATATATGAATAAAAGCCTACATTAAACCTGTGTCATATAAAGTGATCATGTCTTGGATTAAGTTGCTCAATTCCTATAGATTACTTTGACAGTCTTCTTGAACGTTTTAAAGCATCTAAGGTTTGGGTGTATGGATTTTCAGTGAGGGGCAGATGTCTCTCAGGTTTCATTAAATATGTGTCTATCTGAACCAAAAGCTTATGGATTTGCAACAATATGAGCGTGAGTAAATGATGACAGAAAGTTCATTTTGGTGTGAACTTTCAATTTAATATGATTACCTTCACATTGTTCCAAACACCATAAGATTTTAATTTTCAAAAGCCTAAATGAAATCTGTTCATCATATAAAGTAAGATTTAGATGAAACCCCTCAATTCATAAGGATTTATTTTACTATCTGTTTTTTTGAAGCATCAACCTTTTGTGTGATTGGGCTTTCAGTGGAGGGACCGGGTTTCATTTAAAATATCTTCATTTGTCTTTCGAAGATTAATGAAAGACTTATGGGTTTGGAACAACACGAGGGCGAGTAAATAGGCCTAATAACAGAATCTTCATTTTTTGGGTTGAACTAAGCTTTTAACTTGGAGAACACGTTTATGTAATGCAGCACTATTTTTTTTTTTTTTGGGAAAGCCGAGCAGGACTGGACTTAACTACACAACAGGCAGCAAAAACGACTTCAGGCTGGGCAACGATACGCTACCACGGAGAAGAAAACTCCATCCACCCCGGGGGAAAGTCGAGAAGGAGGGGAGGCCCTGCAACACCGGAGGTGAGTCCGAGCGGACTTCTGGAGCACACGGAGGGCTTTTTATGTCTTTTGACTCAGAGGCCGCGCTGACAGCGAGTTGCAGCATATGTGTCCTGCTAGCGACGCGACTAACTGGAACGCCCTCGACGCTGCACGCCGCGGCTTTCACTCTGTGTAGAGTTTTGTTTCTTAAGCGCGTTTCAGTTTGACGCGACGCGTCGCTCGCTCGCTCGCAGTGCTGATGTTAGCGCTAATGCGCACTTGCTCGGCTCTTTTACCGCGTCTCAGGAGAAGCAGCAGCGCGGCTGGAAGGCTTTAACCTCCGCGAGCCGCGAGCACAGAGCGGGCTGATGCAGCACTATTTTTTTTTTTTTTGGGAAAGCCGATCTTCAGCATTTAGGGTGTATGACGTAATCTGAGATATTATAGTTGTCGATTTTAAATCTTATATCCTCATTATATCGCTCTTTATGTCCTCAGCTACCATGGTGGGTGAGCGCCGCAATGGCAACCTGCTGGTTCAGCTGGGCCCGAAGCTCCAGGCTTATCCAGAGGAGCTTATCCGTCAGAGGAGGACTCACGATGGCCAGACGGAGTACCTGATTCGCTGGAGCCTGCTGGCTGTGGATGATAGCAGCAGCTCAGGCTGCAGCAATGAGGCGAGCGGCGGTGGCGGCAGCAGTTCGGGCGGCGGAGGCTCTAGTGGCTCCACCTCAGGAGAGAGCAAGAGCGAGAGCATCCTCATGTGGATGTCCACAGAAGACGTGTACGCCAACTGCCCCACTCTGCTAGGCAAGCGCAAGGCTGACTCCCAGAGGCCTCTGCTGGAGGAAGAGGAGCGGCCCAGCGGCCAGTTCCCCGCAGATGTCACCTTTGACGAGGGAGAGCTGTTGGATATGAAAGACGACGTGAAGAATCTCGTGCGCCGTGCCCGGAAGCAAATGGCTAAGAACAGCGACTTCAGGATAAGTATCACACACACCATCCACGTGCTGAGCGCCTACGCCAGTATCGGCTCTCTGGTAGGAGTCTTCAAGGAGACCGGCGCTCTCGACCTGCTCATGGAGCTGCTCTGCAACAAGGAGCGACAGACCAGACGCAGCGCTGGCAAGATGCTGCGAGCCCTGGCTTCTCATGATGCGGGTAAGTCCGACTATTTGCAGTCTGTTTTCTAAATCTAACTCATGGCTAATATGCATGATAACTAGTGTTAATTTCTTTAACGAAAAGTATGACGAAAAATGTTTGTTGACAAGCCTTTTCCCCATTACTAAGACGAGACGATGACGAGACGACAGTAAGGTCAATAAACGATAACTGTGACTATATCAACATGCAACATCGTTGACGATAAAAGACGAGACTAAAATGTATTTTAAAAAATAAAAACTATACCAAAATGTCTTTTTATTTTCCTTGGAAAAAAAGGATACAACACATTATTGCGGACTGCTTTACACGCCTCTACTACACAAGCTTTTATGTATGCGGTTGCCAGATAACAAGAGTTCAAATCCCCAAATCGGAGCTTCTCTGTTAAAATTATACATTTTCTTCCCAGATGCTTACTTTTTTGCATCTGGCAACCATGCACACGCACTCGTTCTTCATTGCGGAAGCGTTTAGCGTTATTCGATAGCGTTATTATTAGATATTCGGCTTAAAGGGGTCATGTGATGCTTTTTTAAAGATCATTATTTTGTGTATTTGGTGTAACAGAATATGTTGACATGCTTTAATGTTCAAAAAACACATTATTTTTCAAATGCTGTACATTATTGTAGGTCCTCTGCACATTTGGGCGCATTATGCAAATATTTCCACATAGTGAGGTAGATATGTGGGGGTGTGTTAGAACGAGCCGTTTTAGGGGGGCGTGGCAGAGTCTTAACTTTTATAAAGAATATCTCTTTGGTTTTGAGACTTTAGTCTTTGCAACTTCAGGGATCTTATCTATGCACAATCAGCTTGTAACACTCCAAAGAGAAAGGAAAACTTGAAATCGCATCATATGACCCCTTTAAATGATGTTGTTTGACTTTTCTTTTAAAAAAATAATCCTGGAAAAAAAGTATCAGGGCTTCCACAAAAATAATAACCAGCAAAACAGTTCTCAACACTGATGAAAATAATAAACATTATTTTACAATATATTGCAAATCTTCTGAAGTCACATAATAGCAATTGTGTGTGGAACAGGCCATCTTATCCATTCAAGATTCAAGAGTTTTATTTGTCACATACATGGTTATATAGAGAATATTTGACCAGCAGTGAAATGTAAGTCAGGTCCGCTCCATGGACAGTGCAATTATTAAAGAATACAAACACAAGAAAATTATATATAAATATAGGTATGGAAAAAGTAAGATAAAAAAATAAGAATAAAAATAAAATGCGCAGGACAATGTACTGTAAACTTAATAAATATGTAGATGAGCAGGAATGTACAAGAGAAGAATGTGCAAACAGGTTGTACATCAAAGCTCTCCTTGGTTTTTCCATGACAGCTCATGAGTGAAGCAGGGTTCATACAGGTTTGGAACAACATGGAGAGCCAGTGAGGTTTCTTCTTGCGCATCAAGCAAGTACAGTTGAGCTTATGTTTACCTACTCTGCATTGATGAGACACAGGTTTAACGTAGGCTTTAAACATTTCACAGTTTATATATGAATAAAAGCCTACATTAAACCTGTGTCATATAAAGTGATCATGTCTTGGATTAAGTTGCTCAATTCCTATAGATTACTTTGACAGTCTTCTTGAACGTTTTAAAGCATCTAAGGTTTGGGTGTATGGATTTTCAGTGAGGGGCAGATGTCTCTCAGGTTTCATTAAATATGTGTCTATCTGAACCAAAAGCTTATGGATTTGCAACAATATGAGCGTGAGTAAATGATGACAGAAAGTTCATTTTGGTGTGAACTTTCAATTTAATATGATTACCTTCACATTGTTCCAAACACCATAAGATTTTAATTTTCAAAAGCCTAAATGAAATCTGTTCATCATATAAAGTAAGATTTAGATGAAACCCCTCAATTCATAAGGATTTATTTTACTATCTGTTTTTTTGAAGCATCAACCTTTTGTGTGATTGGGCTTTCAGTGGAGGGACCGGGTTTCATTTAAAATATCTTCATTTGTCTTTCGAAGATTAATGAAAGACTTATGGGTTTGGAACAACACGAGGGCGAGTAAATAGGCCTAATAACAGAATCTTCATTTTTTGGGTTGAACTAAGCTTTTAACTTGGAGAACACGTTTATGTAATGCAGCACTATTTTTTTTTTTTTTGGGAAAGCCGATCTTCAGCATTTAGGGTGTATGACGTAATCTGAGATATTATAGTTGTCGATTTTAAATCTTATATCCTCATTATATCGCTCTTTATGTCCTCAGCTACCATGGTGGGTGAGCGCCGCAATGGCAACCTGCTGGTTCAGCTGGGCCCGAAACTGCAGGCTTTCCCAGAGGAGCTTATCCGACAGAGGAGGACTCACGACAACCAGACGGAGTACCTGATTCGCTGGAGCCTGCTGGCTGTGGATGATAGCAGCAGCTCAGGCTGCAGCAATGAGGCGAGCGGCGGTGGCGGCAGCAGTTCGGGCGGCGGAGGCTCTAGTGGCTCCACCTCAGGAGAGAGCAAGAGCGAGAGCATCCTCATGTGGATGTCCACAGAAGACGTGTACGCCAACTGCCCCACTCTGCTAGGCAAGCGCAAGGCTGACTCCCAGAGGCCTCTGCTGGAGGAAGAGGAGCGGCCCAGCGGCCAGTTCCCCGCAGATGTCACCTTTGACGAGGGAGAGCTGTTGGATATGAAAGACGACGTGAAGAATCTCGTGCGCCGTGCCCGGAAGCAAATGGCTAAGAACAGCGACTTCAGGATAAGTATCACACACACCATCCACGTGCTGAGCGCCTACGCCAGTATCGGCTCTCTGGTAGGAGTCTTCAAGGAGACCGGCGCTCTCGACCTGCTCATGGAGCTGCTCTGCAACAAGGAGCGACAGACCAGACGCAGCGCTGGCAAGATGCTGCGAGCCCTGGCTTCTCATGATGCGGGTAAGTCCGACTATTTGCAGTCTGTTTTCTAAATCTAACTCATGGCTAATATGCATGATAACTAGTGTTAATTTCTTTAACGAAAAGTATGACGAAAAATGTTTGTTGACAAGCCTTTTCCCCATTACTAAGACGAGACGATGACGAGACGACAGTAAGGTCAATAAACGATAACTGTGACTATATCAACATGCAACATCGTTGACGATAAAAGACGAGACTAAAATGTATTTTAAAAAATAAAAACTATACCAAAATGTCTTTTTATTTTCCTTGGAAAAAAAGGATACAACACATTATTGCGGACTGCTTTACACGCCTCTACTACACAAGCTTTTATGTATGCGGTTGCCAGATAACAAGAGTTCAAATCCCCAAATCGGAGCTTCTCTGTTAAAATTATACATTTTCTTCCCAGATGCTTACTTTTTTGCATCTGGCAACCATGCACACGCACTCGTTCTTCATTGCGGAAGCGTTTAGCGTTATTCGATAGCGTTATTATTAGATATTCGGCTTAAAGGGGTCATGTGATGCTTTTTTAAAGATCATTATTTTGTGTATTTGGTGTAACAGAATATGTTGACATGCTTTAATGTTCAAAAAACACATTATTTTTCAAATGCTGTACATTATTGTAGGTCCTCTGCACATTTGGGCGCATTATGCAAATATTTCCACATAGTGAGGTAGATATGTGGGGGTGTGTTAGAACGAGCCGTTTTAGGGGGGCGTGGCAGAGTCTTAACTTTTATAAAGAATATCTCTTTGGTTTTGAGACTTTAGTCTTTGCAACTTCAGGGATCTTATCTATGCACAATCAGCTTGTAACACTCCAAAGAGAAAGGAAAACTTGAAATCGCATCATACGACCCCTTTCAATGAAAATGTCATTCAGCCAGTCTGTGTTCTGTCATGAGATCTCGACTATTTTGTTGGTGATTGTGGTTGCTGAATAAATGCACTTACTCAACCGCTGTTGTTTTGATAGAAAAACATTATTGCAATTCGGAATTATTGGAATTACTATTAGGAATTTTACTGTTAAAATATGTTTTGCTTGTTTTTGCCAGTTTTCATAATGTAGAATATATCAGTGCCTTTGGTTTGTTTCAAGATGCACACCAGTCATGTTTTTTTCTAAGGCACGTTTATAAAAATGTCTTAAATAGGACTTAAATGTCCTAATTGAACTATGGCCTAATCCTGGCTTAGACTAAACCCTGTCTGTGAAACTGGGTCTAAGTCACTAAAACGTGACGTGACGAGACTCATTTAAAAGACTAAGACTAAATAAAAAATGGCTGACTACATTAACACTAATGACAGCATCTAAAAGATCGCAGGTCTAGGCTGTGATCTTTTGCATGTCCTTGAGTACTATATTAGAGCTGTTCCCAGTGGTTTAAAGTGAAACTCTCACTTCCTAGGGTATTTCCCTTGAATGAAAAGTAAAACTAAAATAATTTTCCTTGAAAACTGCTGGTGATACTGCTGAATACTTGTATTCAATTAAAGTCTTCAAAAAAACTTGACCTTAATTGTTGATACACCAAAATGAAAAACATGGAGACACAATTTTAAATAGCTGTATATTTCAGAATAACGTTCTCTGAATATTGTTATATTTTCTAATATTTCATTATTTGCATGATGCCCATTGCATCTCTTCAGTGACATTTAGACTTCAACGACCTTTAAATATTGTTTAATATTTTTAAAGCATTTTACAACTGTATAAATATAAATGCAAAGCAAGTGTGCATTAGTTCAATATTGAGTTTCACCAAGTCTGCAAAAAGCAGGGTTTCCTTGTCTGGGAGTTTATTCTGTAAATTAGTTTCCACTGTAGTTTATGCACATGCAAGGGTATGTTGAAATAAACCTCTTGCTTTTGCCAAACATCTAAATTATGCATATACCCTTTGAAACAAATTATGAACAAAAAAAGCAATAAAAAATGTAATGTTTTAAAAAATAATGAAATTTATGAAACTGAATTTTTATTTATATTTATTTAATTGTTAGTCTGGCTGGTTATTTTAATAATGTGGCTATGTAATGCCTCGTGTTCTTG